ATAAAATAAAATATAAAAGAAAGTTGACTTAAGCCAAAGGTTTACGATAGGTAGTGACGCAGTGAGGAATAAAGGAAGAAGGTCTGAATTTGTTTCTGCAAAGGACATCTCAGGAGTCCTGCCCTGCAATACGAGCTTAGAAGCGAAGTATTGTTTTCATGGTTCAGCAATCTCAAGATGTTCTGTAAGTAGCATTAGATCAGATGGGCAAAAGGCGTGAATATCGAAGGAGAGGTAGGTAATGGGAAAATATGGAAAAGAAATATCTTAATGTGAAAGAAATATCCTAAAATATATGGATTGATTCTAAAATATAAAATGGCACACATCAAGGATCGTAAAAATATAAGTGAATAAGATTTTAAAATATAGTAAGTATTTAGGTTAGTGTGTTCCCCACGTGATGCAATGCTTATAAACGCAAATTAGACGATGTTTGGAAAAGTCAAAAGTGGTAAATAAATTGAAATGCCATCATGATTTGTTTTTTATTCTTTTCTTAATTATAATTTCAAAGACGTCTCACTTGGTGAGAGAGAGAAAAAGGAAAACGAACTTATCAAAAGTAGTAAAATGTTACAAATAAACTTATAATGGATATCTGAAGGTTTAGAGTGACGCAGTGGTAAAAAGAGGGGAAGTCTGAGTTGAATTTTGCAATGGCGTTCGGCAATGCAATACGTGTTTGTGTAAGTGAGGTATTGTTTTCATTGACCGAACTGTTAAGACTTTTCATAATCAACATTAGATCAGACAGGGGAGGTAATGTGGCCCTATAATTGAATGATTGATAGGCAAGAGTGTTGAAGAAGGAAGGAATATCTCTGCTAATGATGGATGCTAATGATGGATACAAAGGTCATTCCACCCCTTTAGAAGTAGGGAAGGAAAGACGAAGTAGAAAAACTAGGGGGAGTTCAGTGCGTCCTTGAGCTGTCGTTGGGATGAAGATTGGATTTAATTGTCCTTTTTGGAGGCCAAGATGGCGTCTCACATGGTGTCATGCACAGAATCGATTTTAGAGATGATGGGGACCTCTTCATTATAATATTGTAATTTATAGTTGTATTTGTAATTGTGGGAAAAATGGGAGGCACATTATGAGATGAGATAATTTAAAAAATTGATATTTATAAAAATACAAATCTAGGACCAGTTTTTTAAAACTTTTAAATATTGAGAAATACAATTGGAATAGTAATAGGTTAAGTAAAATAAAGAGCGTAATAAATTTAATTATTAATATTATGGCTATAAATAAGGTATTAAAAAAAAACACACAAAAAAGTTTAGAAAATATGATTCGAGTAATTAAAATATAATATGATTTTTTATGTAAAATTGAAAGTTCGCTATTTGGATAATGTCATTTTAGGTGAATTTAAGAAAGGCATGTAAGATTAGTAAATTGGCAAAAATGCGTGATTGAATATTTTTAATAATAAAATTGAAAATGATTAATTAAAAATTATAATTTGATTAAAATAAAAGTAAAAATGATAAATGAGAGTGTGAAAGTTTTAAAATTTGAATAAAAATGATATAAAAAAGGTTATAATTGATTTTAAAATGCTTAAAGTGAAAATATAAGTATAAAATTTATGGGGAAAAAATGGCAGAAACAAAATTTAAAGTACCTTGAAATGGCTGATGCTGGCTGGAGTTGATCTCTGTAGATGGCTGTATGGAAGAAGGCTGCTTGTTGCGTGGGATCCGTCGGAAGGGGAGATGAGGGCTTCCTCCGCACGAGGCACGGCTAGTCCCCGAATGGCGTCTATTAGGCGGCTTGCTTGGTCTTCGCAGTGGGGCTGCATGCTGGTAAGGGCATCCGCGACGTATTCGTCTTCGACCTCCGTCATCCTCTGCATGCTGCTGTCCTCAGTTATCCTGTCGACTTTAACGGGTTCTGTAGTAATCCCGATGTGGAATGTACTGGGCAGTCGTGGTTGTGGGTGTGTGATGGGATTCCCGCACTGGGACAGCAAGAGACAGAGGCAGGTCTAGATGGTAACTCCAAGAAGGTAGAGGTAGACCACGGACGAAGGCAAGTCGAACCACGGGCGCCGCGGATGCCTACATCGCAGATAGGGGTGAGAGACCCGACCGTATAACGGCGTCGCTCTGAAAACAACCTGCAACTAACTTTGTCCCATTTCTGGGCTCTTTTATATTGGACGCTCGCAGATGGCGGAGAGTTCTGATTGGCTCCTGTAAAATCACGCCACCTGTCAGGCGCCGGGTTGTTTATTACGTCTGGCCACCTGTTGACGGGGTAATTGAACTCATTATCATAAACACCTGTTCGTCTGGTCTTTGTCGTCGTCTGGTCTACCTTTACCTCTTTATTTTATTTGTCATTTCCATTGTCATACAAGGTCGATACATATTTTATATAGAGATGGGGTTATGATCAATATTATAAGAAGGTTGTGATCTATCTAATTCAAAATATACTACATATATATGTTATATTAAAATAATTCATTTATAATGTTCAATTAAAATATTTTATTTAGAATTATGTTAAAATGTTATTTTATTTAAAATTATAATGTCATAAATATAAATACTCTGTTAAAATCGACCGCCAGAGGTCATGCTTCCCATATAAAATCTCGTTGTTGTTCTTCCCCGCTGGTCGGCTCAAACCATATGTAATTATGTAAATATTCTTTGTTTTTCATATTTTTATTCTTACGCCTTAAGCTAGGCTGTACTTGTACAAAATTATGTTTTTAATATGAATTCATTTCTCAGCTCAATAAAGCAATATCTGATCAAACCATTATTCTTTCAATATATATATATATTACTTAATTAAACTTAAAAAACCGAATGTAATTCTATATAAGAAACAACACACATGAATACACTAAATATAAGATTTTTATGTGTATATTATTTTTAATGAAATTCTTTATTTCCAATATATTTTTACTTTTATAAATATAAATAATATTCCTTTGAATGCTAAATCCTTAATAATTATTTTAAAATATAGTTTCTTTAACAACTAAATGTTCTACCATTTTAATTGAAACTATCACTAATAAAACTCTTTTATCATAAATACACACACACTCTAAACTAAAAAAAAAGGCATCTCCTTATCGTGCAACTGAAAGAAGCTGATGGCTTGCGCCATCTATCGGAATAAATATCAACTATTCTCGTTGATTTTTAATTATTCCAGAATTGGCCGAATACCCATTCTTGATTAATCAATAAAAGCTAACCACGGACGCGTTTTGGGCTGTTGGCCCTCATCACTGCAACTTCCACATTTTGTAGCGTTCTCACGCAATTCTACCCGTTTCATGATTTTTCAGGATGCCTTAATGACCATTTTTTGGTCGTTGAGGTACAGCTTGCACCAGGCTGATGAAGGCCAACAGCCCGAAACGCGTCCGTGGTTAGCTTTTCTTGATTAATCAAGAATGGGTATTTGGCCAATTCTGGAATAATTAAAAATCAACGAGAATAGTTGATATTTATTCCGATAGATGGCGTAAGCCATCAGCAACTTTCAGTTGCACGATAAGTAGATGCCTTTTTCTTAATTTATGCACCTTATCCCGGTACAATATTACATTTGTACTATTTTCTCACAATCTAAACTATGAAACCTTCAATGTAAAATACATCAGTTATAAATATACCATTTTTACCATAACTTTTTAAAACGAGATATATTTTCCGTTCTTTGTTACAATATGTTATAGAAATATAATATGTTATAGAAAAATGTTATACATTTTTTATTTACACTTAACAATATTATTTTATATGTATTATCGATTTTCCCTGTATATATTATAACATATTATTTAAAGGATGAAATATATTTCTTTAAAATCGATAGCATATAGAAGGGTCACTCCAATGGTTTTTGAAATCACTTATTTTTATTATGGCTGCAACTTTTACTTTCAAAAATAACTAAACTTTAGGAAATAATAAAAAGTCCCAAGGTCTGGTGAATATGGTAGATGAGTGACTAATTGGAAACCAGAGTTGGCTAAAAGTCTAATGTTTGGGCTGAAGTGTGCGGTCTTGCATTGTCATGGTGAAGAAAGACTCCTCTAAGTTTAGCTCTTGCTCTGCTTTGCTTGATATTTTCAAAATCAGCTGGAAGGTATTTTTTTGTATATCAGTCACTATTAACTATCTTTCGAAACCACTTTTTATAAAAAAAAAAAAAAGCGACCATATTTGTTTTCCAACACTTCGAGTTCTGCAAACTTTCTTAGATTTTGAACAGCATCAAAGAGTAGATTTCCGTTTTGTTTCTGGATGAAAATTATAAATCCAATTTTTGTCACCTGAAATATTATTAAAGAAACTTTGATTTGCCTTCATAATTTTTTTCAACATGAAATTACACCATTTGACGCGACCAAGTTTTTGGTCCTCAGTAAAGCTATGAGGTGTCTATCTACTCTCTCTCTCTCTCTAACAAGTTTTTTGTATTTTAAATGATCATTGATGATGGTGTTGATTGCGGCCGATCCAATACCCACACCTTTCTCTAACTGCTGATATGTAATTATTTGATCTTCAAAGTTGGTTTTTCCAAATTTAAATTCATTAAAACAATTTTAAATGTTCTAATAGAAATAGATTTATTTTCTAAAGCTCTTATCAATCTTAAATGGGATTCTATAGAAGTTAAATTACTTTTATAATCATAAAAAGTCATGTCGCGTGACTTTCTCTAGTCAACTCCATTGTGTCTAATGCAATGTTTATAAATTTCCGCTGCCGCTATATTTAAAGTCGCGCCCTCTATGAGTCACTTGTTGTTATTATTCTATGAAAATGTTTATAAAACAACACTTAAAGTTTCACCGCATAAGTTTCTTTTCTGTGAAAAATCAATATTTATTTCAAAGATAAATATTTACTATTTCTAACTTTTTTGGATGAAGTATGAAAGGGTGAAAAGTCCTTTATAATGTATTATAAGTTACTTTAAGTATTATTTACGAACGGAAAAATACGCCCAGGGTAGCCTAGTGGACATGGCATCTGCCCGGTTAGCGGAAGGTTGTGGGTTCAATTACCGCCCCTGGACACTTTTATTTTTCCGTTCGCCATTACTCTTCATATTTTCACCCTCTCATACTTCATACTTCGCCATTACTCTTCATATTTTCACCCTCTCATACTTCATACTTCGCCATTGCTCTTCATATTTTCACCCTTTCATACTTCATCCAAAAAAGTTAGAAATAGTAAATATTTCTCTTCGAAATAAATATTGATTTTTCACATAAAAGAAACTTATGCGGTGAAACTTTAAGTGTTGTTTTATAATCATACGCCGCAGTCCTTTATAATGAAAATGTTTATGTTAGGTAGAAAAAGCGTGTCGATTTTAATGGCAAATTTTATTTCAATATTTTAATTATTTAATATTGATTTCAAGCACCTTCGGAGTGACCATTGTATAATCCCGTGAGAGCCCCGTATAATCTTATAGAATATATGTAAATGTATGGGTGATAAGTGGTTTATTCGGAACTGTAGTGTCATATTTTTCTACAAGTAACTTTGATTTGAATTACATTTTCAAACAAGTCGTTTAAGTTATTCATATAGGTTATTTAAACACAAACAGAGTGTTTCATTTAATATATTTTCAAAGATTTAAAGAACCACAAAATACAAATCGTAAACATGACGATCATTTTTGTTTTCAATGATATATAATGATTATGAACAGTTTGGGTTTTTTAAATTCAAATTTATAGGCATGTTTATGAAAAAATAATAGAAAAAAATAAAGAAAAGGTCAGGTGTTGATATTAAAAATAAAAAAAGGCATATCCTGACCAGGAGCACATGTTTTTTTTCAGAAGGTAGAGCGACCAAAAATATTTTTGGTCGCAGTGGTACAGCCTACTCCACGCTGACGAGCGCCAACAGCGCGAAACGCGTAAGTGGATGGCTTTTCTTGATTCATCAAGAAATAGGGTTGGCCAAATATCAGGGAACAGGCTAAATCAATGAATAGATTTCTTTTGAAACGTAAACCGGGCAGAATATGCACAAAATTTAAAATATGAATTCAGCAATAATACGTACAAGATAAAACGATTTTAAAATTATTACAAAACTAGGAAAACATTCAATTGAATAGAAAAACATGCATTTCCCTATTTACTAGTTTACAGTTTATTCTCTTAGCGTTCGCTGCAATACTATATTAATAAATAAATCAAATTTCTATAATATTCCCATTATATTTATTTAGTGATATTATTTGACATTTTTATTAATCGATATTCAATTTGTTTACTGAAAAAAATAGAAATCATTCTCCATTGTTTAGATACAGTTACAGGGTTCCGAACAAAATTTTTTGCTTAAAGTGATAGTCTTTTGAAGTATATTTTATCAAAGCTTTTTACCAATTATGACAAAAAAGGGCCTAAAGGGAAATATATTAGTAGCCTGGTTGTATAGACTCCCGGAAGAGATCAAACACTTCATTGAAACCTTTTTTCAAAATTATTGTCGAATAATTCAAAATTCTAAGACGACTATAACAAAGGCTGCTATGACCCATTTGGATTGATATATAGCATAAAAATATCAATGGTACTTGATTCTCGTGCAAGTCGAATCCTCTAAACCACCGCCATTTTATAGAAGTTCTATAGTTCCTAGTTCCATGAACAATGACAAACATGAACGAACATAAGGGATGTCATTTTCTTATGAATCAGACCCTTAATAAATAGGTATATCTTTAAAAAAAATACGTACATTGTTTTTGTATTAGCATAGCGTTAGCAAGATTATCATCTCTATTATTACAGCAATATCAGCTTCCACAGTAATAATCATGACATTGGCACTACCAGAAACAATGCTAACAGTAATGCCAGTTATATTAACTGTGTGTTATTAGATCTAGTTATAACAATGTTTAATATAACAACAGCCCTATTGCCAGAAAAACAGATGCAATTAGAGCAAAAACGACAAAATTAGTAAGGGCACCATCAATAGCAGTAGCAATGGTAGAAGCAGCAAGGTGATAGAATGGAAGATGTGACAGCTTTATCTTCCTTTATAAATCATCGGCTCGGTGGACAAAGCCACATTAAATATTCACCTTCCATTGTGTGAGGGGAATATGGATTAGTTCCTATGTGCCTACATCTGCATACCTTTATTGTTAAAAATATATTGATTGCATTTAGTTGTTAAACTCTGTTTTGTTCGCGAGGTAGGAGAGATGCATAGGTTGTAATGGTTAAAATATGTAATTTATCCTCAATTATATAAATATGACATTCTGTTCGACCCTTTATTTGATTCCTTTTGTGGTTTATTTGTAGATGATAATAGGAATGCAGTTAACGATTATGTATTAATATTCAATTTATAAGGAATAGAACCTCTAGGGAGGCGGTGACATTGTAAAGGATTCCACTATGGATTATTCGGTTTTACCTTTTTTGGGTTAGTTTTACCATCGGTTGGAAGACTGAATTACCGAGATTGTATTATATTTATTAGCTTAACATAGAATGCGAAATCTGAACCACATTTCTTTATAATACGCAAACTGTATTATCGTTTTAGTTTAAAATATATACATTTGCATTATGTGAAATCAATAGCAAAATTCAAATATTTCCTAAAATCACAAGCATATTCAACTTCTTGTCATCTTTTGATAAATAAGTATTATCTATATCGGTGTGTTGTTTGTACTATATAAAAAATAGTTTCATGAGATAAAATGTATATTGATATTCAAACTTATTATTTTTAGAAAGAATAATTTTAGTATTTATATAATTTAACAACGTCGAAGTCTCAACAATATATATTCTATACATATAAAAAAGAAAATGGCGTCTCCTGAGGTCGAATGTATATTCACAAAATATTATTCACGGAATTTTATTGTAAATTGTATTTCCAAAAATAAATAGATACAATTATATTTAAAAATAGCTTCTAACTATATAGAGTCAGATGAGCACACCAACAATATCTTTATGAAGAATGGGGCATTTTTATACGATAACCAATTTCCAAGGCATCGCGTGTCATTAGGAAATCTATTTTCTTGTGAAGGTGGAAGACATATTTGGCAATAGTTTGTATCTAGTTTGATATATTGTTTTCTTGTATCTATGTTTTTTTTTCTCTGTGAAGGGGAATATATTAAAATTGCTAGTGTTCCTAATCCAGAGTATATATCTCCAAATATTAAAACCTCTATGGGAATAACTATGGTTTGGATAATAAGAAATATTCAGGATGTTTTAACTCACATTGATCTGAGAAAATTATTATATATAAATAAGCTTATATAGGTTAGTGTGTGTATATATATGAAAAAAAAAAAAGAAAAAAAAAAGGTAATGCTTGTGTGAGCAATCAAGGATATATATTTCTTGTTCCTAATTCATATATATATGTTTAAATATAAATGTCACAACAAAACACAAAACACGAATTTTCCCGTTAGTTTTGCCCCCGTGCTTGCAGCTAAGCACTTATTTGGCAGATTGTGAAAATATCATTTGATCTCTATGATGAATCTCATTGTACAAAGTACGCTCTGAACTACCGAGAGCTATAGCCCGAAACTTTGATCTCTTGGTGCGCTTCTCAGTTAGGAAAATCTGGTGTTGTGGCTTCGTGACCGAACCGAGGCCGCTAGTTTGCAGCGATAATCAATAGATGGCGTCTAGTTTTGACTTGTGAAAAATGAGCCCCTTTCCATTATAAAAAAAAATTCTTCGCGTTTTACGTATACATTTATTAGAATATTAAGCCCTAAAACTGGTTTAGAATAGGCCAATGGTCAACCTGTATTATTTTCTTTTGAGTATCATTAAAGTGTAGCGTTTTCTATTTGTAAGCATAGTATGGGATGATTTACCTCGGCCTAATCTCTAAGATGAATGTTCTAGTTGGTGAAGTGTTTTTGATGAGGCCGATACTGCGCCATAATTGATTACAATTTTCGATTCCCATTATGTTCATGGATAAAATAGTTTAGATATTACAATAAAAATTGGAATTAAAATAAATAGGCAGATAAAATAAAATTGAAGTCCGAAGACTGCATTTTCTGGTTGTGGTCCTTTGCAACCCTGGAGACTTCAAAGTCATTTTTTATAATAAAATACAAACATATATATATTTTAAAAAATATAAAAAGGTATCTCCTCATCGGCAACTTTAAGTTGCGCAAGCTAAAATCGCTATCTATTGGAATAAATATCAACTAATCGTTGATTTTTAATGATTCCAGAATTGGACATTGGACATTCTTGATTAATCAAGAAAGGCTAACCACGTAAAACAGTTACCAATACAATATCACATTTTTACTATTTTTTCACAAATATTTATTTATTCTAAAAGTGGAATATTGATTTTATCAATTTTAGAAGGCTTTTATTTGTAAACAAGTAATGAGCTATACTAGAATAACCTAATGGGGTAATTGGAAAGTTGGATATGCAGTAGATAATCAACATTTAGTTATTTCAACATGAAAATTATTTCAAAGAAATCCTATTTGCCTTTTAAAATAAAGCGACTTTTTACTAAAGAGATGTCAATTTCCACGTTATCAGAGTGTGTACATAATTTAATTTTTAATAAACTAACGCCTATCTTTTTTTTTATTTACGTTCAATTTAACATTAATGGAAGATATATAACTTATTTTTTTCTTCAAAATAATTAAAAACTTGAAATACTTATAGGATAGTTATAGTTTTTCTGTTTGCCTTTTGAGAAAAAATCAATTTCTTTATTTTATATTATATATTTTTTCTTAAAATATTGAGGAATATATATTTTTTTCAGAATATGTAAAAAATAATATTTTTAAATAAATTTTAATAATATAACTGAACATTTCAATGTTTAAAATTAATTTCAGTCTCATAGAATAAAATTTCATATAAATATATATCTCAAAGAGTTACACTTATTTCATTTTATATTCATATTTATTCGTTATTACATATTTGGTAGCTTTAAAACAACTTAAAACGTTGTTCGCTTTTAATTTTTTATTTATAATAAGAGT